GGAGAAGGGGCGCGCGCGGAAGCGCTCCAAGTCGCGGGAGAGCAAGCGGTCCCGGCGGCGCGAGTCGCGCTCCCGTTCCCGCTCCAACACGGCCCCCTCGTCCCGCCGCGAGCGGGAGCGCGAGCGCGAACGCGCCTCCTCCCCGCCCGACCGCATCGACATCTTCGGGCGCACCGTGAGCAAACGCAGCAGCCTCGACGAGAAGCAGAAGCGTGAGGAGGAGGAGAAGAAGGCCGAGTTCGAGCGGCAGCGGAAAATGTGAGTGCGAGGGGGTGGCGGCGGGAAGGAGCGGCCTAGGGCCCTGTTGCCTTCGCCCCCTCGAAAACCACCCTCGGCCATTCCGGAAAACAGGCCCTCGCACACCAGGCCTTCGCCGAGGCCTAACTTGTGCCTCTCTTCCCGCCTTCATTTCCGCTCCGCCGGCTCCGTGGGGAGGCGGGAGCCCCGCGGCGCATGGCCTCGCTGTCACCGGGCCGAGCCCTCTCCTCATATCCCGCTCCGCTTAAACTTAAACTTCCCTCTGTAGCCGAGGCTTCTGCTCTCCCAAGGCTTTGTGAAGCGCTGCCGCCCTTGTGCCCCTCCCCTTCCTTCTCCCTCTCTCTCTTTTTTTTTTTTTTTTTTCCCCCTCTCCCTCGTGGAGCTTATATTGCGTTGGGCTTGTAGAGTTGCCCATCTTGTTGGTTTTAAGGAGTGGAGTACAACACTTATTAACCCTTGTCTTCTTTCTTTCTTTTTTCTCTTTTTTTTTATCCATCCATCCATCCATCCATCCATCCACCCATCCATCCATCCATCAAACTGGCTAGCTATTTATCATCTATCTGTCCTGCTGCAAAGAGGACAGTGAGGCCAGGGGATTTGTTTTTCTTAAAAATCTTTTCCTTGTCCAGTTCCGGCTAATACTGTGGAGTATAGTTCCTCGTGAAATCTACAGAGATGGGTACATTTTGTTCAAATAAGGTGGAATGGGAGTTCAATTGTCTAGTAACTTTGTTAAGTAATGAAAGAGGAACTTTCTGTAGTACAGCCTATAGAAAAGCCATTGTAAAAGCTGTGACAGCGATTCTTGTTCTTGAATGTTATCCTCATTTCTTGGAGCAGTGAATTTAAATACTGAATTCAGAAGTAGCTGTTTGTGTGAAGCTAGTGAATTCAGCTGATTCTCCAGCGCAGAATTTTGCTCTGGGTTTTATTCCAACTCTACGGCTCAAATGCAGTAATTCCTATTATCTGTAGTTCAGAAGGTCTGGTCACTGGAAGTTGCCACTTAGGTACTGATGCTAATGAAGAAAAGAAGCAACTTTGTGGCGAACTGAATTAACTTGTTCATATAATGAAAGTGAATCTCTTCATCAGTCTTTCATCTTAGTAGTTTCTACTTTTTGCTGGGATGGTAATTTTCTGTATGGACCCTGCAAGTGCATCAGCTTTTTTTTGATTGGAAGCTTACTGAACTGTATGCAGTTCTTTCTACAGATTTTATAAAATCAGTCTTTAAGAAGACAAATTAAAGAAGAGTATGCTAAAAATGTTTAGGCGTTAATGACTTTTCTGTTTCTCTGGAGTCATTAATAAGTGGGCATGAACTCATGTCTGTGTATCAAATGAACCATACATGTGTGGTAGAAAATGAATAGGTACTGTCACCTGTAAACTATATCTTTGAGTTTCTCAAGAAAATCAAGTTATAAACACAATCAAGTTATAAACACAAGCATAAATGCCAAGCTCATTTATTGGAAAATATTATCTTTATGAGCACTAGGTGACTTTATAAATGATTTTTGAGAATAAATTTTGTCTTGATTCCATATCACTACTTTTATTTTTCCAGTGTCGTAAGGATCATATCCTCAAAAGTTATTTATAATAGCACCGTTGCCTGTGAATGTAGAAACATAAATTTGCTTAGCATAAATGAGTTTAAGTAGAATTTTTGGAGGCGACAAAAGACTTGTGCAAGTGCAGGGCTTAATTTGAGTACATCACCAGTTGCTTCACATAAGTGACTTTTTTTAAACTTAGTTTGTCATTCCAGATTTCCCTAATGTTAAAAGTGCAGTTGAATAAAACGCTCAATTGCAAGCTTTCTGAAAAATCTGTTCCTACAGAACAGCCTCTGGCATATGCCAAGCTGTATCACTGAAGGAAAGTACATGCTGCTGAATAGCTCTAACAGCAAAGAAAACTTTTCTTTTTTTTTTTTTTAATAAGAGATTATTTGATAAAAAAAAATGTAGTGGCTTGGTGAAGACACAGTGAGGCGGATGTGTTTTTCTTTCTGCAGAGTGATTTGTTTTTTCCTATCAAAAATCACCAAGATATTCAGTATTGCTTTGGGAAAAGATAATGCCAGCCTGGTATTACTGGAAAAGTTTGCCATCTTCTGAGGAATGAATAAATTCCTTCTGCTGGGGATCAATGTCTAAAATACATTTACTAAATTAAATGGAGTAAGAATTTGCTTCAGAACAGTTTTGAAAAGATGTTACAAGATTAGGAAGTCTTTCACGTTGGTGTTTCACATGTGCTGTCCATAGGGATCCATACTTTAGTGTCTCCCAAGCATGCATGTTTGCAATTGCACACGGAAATCTAAAATTCAGTAAATGCTACAACTTTTAAGCTATTTTTATGACCGTCAACCAAAATAAGATAATAAAAGGCAAACATTTTGAGCGTGACAGGAAATTGCATCAGATAAGTGTTACTGTAAATTGTCGGTTTCTGGTGCTGACAGGCCAGAGGCATGTTTATAACGCTGTTCCATACTTCATGGAATACTTAAACTGAAAGTTCAGTTTCAAGGTTAGATCAGAACAACCTTTTCCCCCAAAGCCTATGATAATCTGAAATAAATAATACCTCACTTTGGGTTCACTTTGTATTTACATTATATATATATGTATATATATATATATAAAACATACCATGTGTGAATGTCTACTTGCCATATCACACTGGTGGTAGGAAACCTGGAAGATTTCCTATCTGGAAGAGCTTTTTCTTAGTTGGTAATAAACGTGGGTATTGAGTTTTAATATATGCTTTTTACTGAAAGCTTAAACAGTGCATAGGCTAAGTGATAGAGGTGCCTTCAAACAAAAGGAAGAAAGAAAGGACATTTGAGAAAAAGCTTCTAAATTGTTAAACGAGCAAGAAAGAAACATTGCAAGGATTTATTTAGTTCTTGAACTGGTATATCTTATTTTGGATAATTATGCTGGAAACAATGCCACAATAAGGAAGTTAAGGAGAGCTGAAATATTTGAGATTGGGCAGCACCTGGACAGCACAGAAACAGCACCTGGAATTCATACTAATAATATTAAAATTATAGCTTCCATTACTTCTGTCTTTTTATATTATTTAGCAGTTTGTTGCCTTGGAGATGGAGGTTTTAAAGGTAGGATTTTAATGCTAAGTGTAACATAAAACTGAGCATGTTTAAATTCCTGAAGCAGGAAAAGTGCACAATTTTTTTTTTCTTGCTTTTTACTCTAAAAATTACCTTTCTCATAGCAAGAAGTAGCACGATACATTGTCTTGTTAATTTTGATGTCTTGAGCAATGGAGAGATACTTAATAACCTGGCTTCTCTGTATAAGAAACGTTGTTTTGCCTTATGTCTAAGGGAAATGTATTGCACCTACCACTCTAAGGAAGGGATCCGTGTGTGCAAGGTGTAAGGCTTGTAATGCTGGTTCTGCAGCGTGGTTGGTGCCGTGTCTTTGCCAATGTTATTTCTATATATATATA